TGATTTTCCTCCTGTCCCACTATCATGCTCAGTCCCCACCAGGGTTTCAGCTCTTCCTCTTTGTTACATTCCCCTTGATCATGCCCTACCAGGCCTCCCACACCCACCTCACCACCAATTTGGATCACTTGTCCCCTTGTCCCTGAAGCAAATTTATTGAAGGAAATGTTTAAAGCGATGCTGATCTAAGAATCTGATAAACAGTGGATACAGTTAAACTGCAGGTAAAAGAAGGTCTACATAAACACTGTATGCTAGGAGACAACCTTTTGGAAAGGGATATGGATTAAAATCTGATAGAGCAACACACCCTAATTAGCCAATTAGGCAAATGGATGAGTACTGGAAACATTTTGCATCTTTGAATTGGAGTCTTCAGATAAGCAAGGGGAGGCATGATTGATCCATATGCTGATAGTTTGGATTTGGAGACATCAGCGGAAACGCATATAGTTTAATGTAGATTTAGATGGTTACATATAGAAATAATTATATTTACCTATTTATAATATATATACTGATTTATTTATGTGCTTATGCTCTCTTTCTCTCTCAAAAGAGAAGTCCTGATAACAAGGAGAATCCATTAGACAAAGAATACCTAGTATTCCGATCTTTCTCTCTAACAGCCTTCCCATTGAAGGAACAAATTCCTTTAAGAAAGGGATGTTTGGGGGACTGGATAACAAATATACAAGCTAAGTCTGGAAAACTCAATGGGGCCCTGTATCATTTATGACATGGGTCACTTTAGCCTTGTCCCTTTGAAGATGTGTCAAAGAGCCATGAATGTCAACTGAACAAGTTACCAATGCTCATAGTTCTAACAACTGGAGCAACAAAATAAATAAAATTTACTAGACTATAAACTAAAATATGAAAAAAATCTATAAATGCACACTAATATAAAGAAATATTTACATAAGTAAATAAATGAGCACAGACAATCTTGCCACACCGTACAATGTCAAATTATTTACATTATAATTCATGCTCAATA